ATATTACCCGCTGGCGCTGATGGGTATAAATGGCAATTTTTTGGGCCTTTTTTTTCAATATGACTTCATATTGACCATTTTTAACAACAGAGGGTGCTACATAACACACTTTCAGGAAAAGTCAAAGACTTGGAGACTAATATTTTATTGAAAAAAAGTTACATACAATCAAGAAACAGCTGCGGGTAAAATGTACCCGTTGGCGGTTCTAGTGTTAATACAAACCTTCAGTTAACAAAATACTTTTACTATCTTTTAGTGTTTATTATATTTGATACAGTAATACAGCAACATTCTAACCACAGTATATACCAGAGGTGGGGGACTCGAGTCACATGACTTGACTTGAGTCACATGACTTGACTCGAGTCAGACTCAAGTCGCATATTTTTGGACTTGAGACTTGCTTGACTAACATTGATAAAAGACTCGACTTGACTTTGACTTGGTATTCATGACTTGAGACTGATGACTCGAAAGGATTTCACTTTTTTGTACGAAGCACCTAAAGGGCAATGGGAAAAAAAGAAGAGAGACGAGAAAGTTACCGGTGCGCCAAGGAGGAAGTGGAGCGCACAGGAGACAGCCGTTTCATTGCAGACTGTTATGTTTATGTGGGGAAATGGCAGTGCATACATTATTTGAGATATATTTCGAACTCGGACTTAATTTTAGGGATATTTCGGCCAGGGGTGTAGAGCTATATATAGAGCTAGGAGAGTCTGTGAACCAGTCTGCCTTGATCTATGAATTCATGTCCATGACTCTCACAGTATCTGCTGCCCACAGCTGTTTTATAGACGGAAAACCTCCTTCACTTCATGAAATCTCTGCAGCACCAGGAGGCAGTAAGGTGTAACTCAGCAGAATCTGAGAAGAGCAGCACCAGCTGCAAAGAGCTGTGCCTTTTACCGTTTACTTCACTGTGTTTACCTTCATTAGAACAGCTAAAGAGCGACCGCAGGCTGCTACGTTTTAACCAAACACCCATCTGCTTAGGGATGACTTATTAAAAGGTGCGAAAAAGATGGCCGGGCCAGGTACTGGCATCATAATAATAATAATAATAGCTTGGATTTATATAGCGCCTTTCAAGGGACCCAAGGTCGCTTTACAAGTAATAGGGCAAAAACAAACATAACAAAACAAAAGTCAGACAGACAAAACAACAGATCGATTAGGGGCCGAAAGCCTTGGCAAACAGATGGGACTTGAGGGCCCTTTTGAAGGCGTCAAGTGTGAGGATGTTGCGAATCTCCGCAGGGAGAGCGTTCCAGAGGGTGGGGGCTGCCACACTGAAGGCTCTGTCCCCGAAGGTTCGCAGTTTGGTGCGGGGGGTGGTAAGGAGGCCAGAGTCTGAGGACCGCAGGTTCCGGGGTGGGGCATGTGGGTGAAGGATGTCCGATAGGTACTGGGGGGCAAGGGCATGGAGGGACTTGTAGGTAAGGAGGAGGATTTTGTATGCTATGCAGGACTTGACCGGCAACCAGTGGAGGTGGATGAGGGTGGGAGTGATGTGCTGCCACTGCTTTGTGTGTGTGAGTACCCTAGCAGCACAGTTTTGGACATACTGGAGCCTGTCCTGGGTTTTGTTGGGAACCCCGAACAGGACACCATTGCAGTAGTCCAAGCGGGAGGTGACAAACGCATGCACTAGGGTTTCGGCAACCGACTCCGAGAGCGACGGTCGGAGTCTGGCAATGTTCCTTAGGTGGAAAAAGGCCGATTTGGTCACAGATTTGACGTGGGAATGGAAGGAAAGGGTGGAGTCGAGGGTGACACCCAGGTTGCGGGCTTCAGAAAATGGAGCAGCCGTCAACCTCGAGGATGAAGTCACCAACCTTCTGGAGCAGGGCCTTGGGTGCCACAACCATGAGCTCTGTTTTATTGCTGTTTAGCTTAAGGTAGTTGGAAGACATCCATGCTTTGATGTCATGCAGGCAGTTGGTGAGAGACTGAGGGGGGAGCTGGGAGGATGGAATGGTGCTGAGATACAGTTGGGTATCATCAGCGTAACAGTGGAAATTGAGTCCATGATGTCGGATGATCTGGCCGAGGGGGAGCATGTACATTGCCTCTGTCCTTAGTGGGAAGAATTAATATAATTAAGATGAGTATATTGCCAAAATGTCTATATCTTTTTCAATCCATCCCGCTAGCACCACCTCCTCCATTTTTCTCTAAAATAAGATAGCTACTTTCTAAATGTATTTGGAATAACAGGAAGCCAAGACTTAGACTCTCTCTGTTGTATTTACCTTACGATAGGGGAAGGTTACAACTACCACATTTTCAGTGGTACTACTGGGCGGCACAATTGAGGGATGCAATGTTTTGGTTTTCCAGAGAAGTTGATTTGCCGTGGTTACGAGTTGAGTTGTTGTCTTCAAAGGGTTTGATGCTGGATAGCTTTCTATTCTCTGCTCCTTCTAAAAATCTAAGGAAAAAAACATTGAATCCTTTTCTGAAAAATAAAACGTTTGTCTGGCGGAGACTGTAACGAATATTCGAAAAATCGAATAATCGCTGGCATCCCTAATGAGGACAGCAACCTAATGTCGTTTGACGAGCTGAAAACAAAGTATGTCATGCCACAGAAACACTTTTTCAAGTACCTGCAAGTTAGGAGTTTTATATTGGCAAACTTAAAGGTGGGGTAGGTAATTTTGGAGAAACCAGCTCGAGTGCGCTAGAATTTTTAAATACACAGCCGGAAGAAATCTGCTACTTCCTTACAGAGCCCCTCCTCCAACACACACAAATGCGCACATGACCAATGAGGGCACGAGATAAGTTTGTGCACAGATGGAAGGCTGACAGGCAGGTAGGCCATCCAGTTATTTTAGCCGGGCCGGCTAAAATGATTGGTCGTGCTTTTTACAGTACTACGGCTTCCACAGATGAAACTTTTGAATGGATCTTTGGTCAAAGCACTTAAGATATTCATTGCTATCGGGATGTTAAGAACATTCCACGGAATATAAGAAAAAGTGTATCTCGAGCCGGTTTCTCAAACTTACCTACCCCACCTTTAAACAACTCGTTGCAACTACCTCCTATGTCCAGACTAGAGATACTGTCTATAAAAAACGGTATCAGCAAAGGGCTGGTTACTCAATTTTATAACATAACATAATGATCAGTGTGCCGACATTCGTGAAATATCAACGGGGGCTGGGGGGGAGCCTCGCTGCGGGGAAGCTGTGGACCTCTGTCGCCTGTCAGCGCAACTTACTTGATGCTGTTTAAACACATTTAAATAAAGGGCGGTGCCGGCCGTCAGCGGACCGGCTCGGTTCGCTGACGACCGGACGTTCTGTGATTCTCCAGAACACACAGTTGGCCAGTCCGCCCCTGTGTAGCATATTATTTTCGATGACAGATGAGCAGATTGCCACTGGGCGTTCAACTAAAGACACAGCCACGCAAAAACTGTGGCATGTACAGCTCCTTATGGGTACTTCAATATGTGAAGTGCTTGGTCTGTACTTTAAACTGATTGATGATTCTAGTATCTGCACACTTTTATTTTTTTGCATTATTTTGTAATCTGCCATAAGTCTAATGTTGGGGAATGTTCGGTTGTGTTTGTGTAATGTCATTAGCCCGCATGGTTTTTCATACCATTGCTACGCTGACGACACCCAATTAATTTGGTCTTCTGGCCGTTCTGAAACCCAGATAGTCGCACGCATCTCTGCTTGTCTAGCAGACATCTCTCAGTGGATGTCTGCTCACTACCTCAAGCTCAACCTTGACAAGACTGAACTGCTTTTTCTTCCAGGAAAAGATTGTCCACTCTTGACCTAACAATCAACATCGGCCCCTCTGTTGTTTCCCCGACTCAGACTGCAAGGAATCTGGGTGTGACCCTAGATAACAAACTGTCCTTCACTGCAAACATCGCTGGAACAACCCGCTGCAGCAGATACACGCTTTACAACATCAGGAGGATACGTCCCCACCAGACCCAGAAAGCAATGCAGCTTCTGGTCTAGGCTCTCGCCATCTCACACCTAGACTACTGCAACTCCCTCCTGGCTGGTCTACCTGCATGTGCCATCAGACCTCTGCAGCTCATCCAGAATGCAGCAGCTTGTCTGGTCTTCAACCTTCCTAAATTCTCCCACACCACGTCGCTCCTCTGCTCCCTTCACTGGCTTCCAGTAACTGCTAGAATCCACTTCAAGACACTGGTACTTGGGTACCATGCTGCGAATGGTTCTGGCCCTTCCTACATCCAGGACATGGTTAAACCATACACCCCAGCACGTGCACTCCGCTCTGCATCAGCCAAACGGCTCGCTGCACCCGCACTGCGAGGGGGACCCATGTTCCCATCAGCAAAAACACGTTGGTTTGCTATCCTGGCTCCAAAATGGTGGAATGAGCTCCCCAGGACAGCAGAAAGCTTACACACCGTCCGGCGCCGACTGAAAACTCATCTCTTTCGACTCCACTTCGAGCAATAAAATGAAGAAAAAAACGGAAAAAAAACACTTGGATACTGATTTAGCACTTACATACTAACAAAGCACTTACATACTAACAAAGCACTTATGTACTAACAAAGCACTTATGTACTAACAAAGCACTTATGTACTAACAAAGCACTTATGTACTAACAAAGGACTGGCTTATCTAAAGCCAGTTGAGTAGCACTAAAAATGGTTTGGCTCTATGAAACCTAATGTACTTATATGATTCTGTTTTCTTCTGGTTTGTATCTTCTTGGTCGAATGCACTTATTGTAAGTAGCTTTGGATAAAAGCGTCAGCTAAATTAAATGTAATGTGATAAATGTAAAAAATCTATAAATAAATGTTTATTTAAAAAAAAAAAAATAAAATACAGCAACGTTCAAATCAGAGTAAATACGGCAACTTTCTAACCTATATCCAACCATATTGTGCATTAATATTGTTTTTTCTAAACAGGTTGTGATCTTTCATTTGGGGATAACAGTCTTAGGAATATATTGTGATGAAGTGCACACTGACCTGAGCTCCAGGCGTCTTTTTGTTCTCCATGCTGCTCTCAGAGCTCCTTCTCCGGCTGTGTTTCTGAAATAATCACAAAACAAGATAAATCAATACAACCGACAGACACAACAAAACAAATCTACAGCTCATAGCAGAGGTGAAAATGAACTAAGTATATTTACTATATAGTACTATTTAGAGGTAGTTGTACTTTACTATTGAAAAGGAATCTAACTTTGCACACACACACACACACACACACACACACACACACACACACACACACACACACACACACACACACACACACACACACACACACACACACACACACACACACACACACACACACACACACACACACACACACACACACACACACACACACACACACACACACACACACACACACACACACACACACACACACACACACACACACACACACACACACACACACCCTCTCTCTCTCTCCTCTTCGTCCTGGTTCTTCAGTCTCTCTTCTCCTTGATAAAACACTGCAGCGAAACACACTAATCTCCCTTTAATGCCTTTACCGATTAGCAACTTGGTATAAAAAGCTACGAACAAAGAACGGGAACAAAAACACGGTTTAACGGATGAAAGCACGGATAAATCACCCTCCAAGGATAAACTAACTCTTTGTATGTGTTTTAAACACATACAAAGACATAACATTCGGTATACAATCTGCATCAACGTCTGTTAGCAACGTCCAGAGCCGTATAATAGAATCTATCTATATGGCGCTGGCAACGTCTAGCTTCTGAGGACCTGAAGCTAGAAACGGACCACCGCAATGCATCATGGGAGTTTAGTTTGTCTTTTAAAAATAAATTCACTGCCTCCCTGTGGTGAAAAACGGTATTAAAATAAATATGAATTACAACAAAAATAATAATAATAATAATAATAATAATAATAATAATAATAATAATAATAATAATATATAAATATGGGACTGGTATGGTTGATTTTAAACGTTGGAAAAATGTTTTTGTTTGTGATCATACATTTGTTTTCCACTATATAGGTTTTGATATAATGATTGATCATTAAAGCGTTATCAAAGCTGGTAAAGGTGCAGCTAGTTTTAATGACTTTGTATACTGTAGGGTAGCTTGTGAATTTACTCCAGGTGGAACTAAAGTCTGATTGATTATATTTATGAAAGTAAAAGTACTCAGATATTGTACTTGAGTAAAAGTAGAAGAACTCGTATATGATATGTTTTATAATGATTGATCATTAAAGTTTTATCAAAGCTGGTAAAGGTCCAGCTAGTTTGAATGACTTTGTATACTGCAGGGTAGCACACAAAAGTTTTGCCTCCGCCCGACGTCACGCCAAATCTGCCCCGAACCGCTGAGACAAACTCGTCTGACTGATGAAGACCACCACTCTCTCTGAGCGAGAACAAAGAGGAGGAGAGAATATCTTTGTATGCACTGGGAAAAACACGCCGACATCAAAGGCAGTGGCTGACTGGACTGCAAGAGAAGCAGCAGCTAAATCCTTGTTAGCTTAAATCCTGCAGGGAACCCCACCTCAACACCTACACAGACACATACATAACATATAGGAATCACAATGATATCAATTTACTGTGTGAGGTATCATCATCGAGAAATATGTGTTTAAGTTATGTAGTGTCTCTACTTTAAAGAGTCCTCTCCTGCTGATGTTCAGGTGTATATCAGTATGTAGTGTCTCTACTTTAAAGAGTCCTCTCCTGCTGATGTTCAGGTGTATATCAGTATGTAGTGTCTCTACTTTAAAGAGTCCTCTCCTGCTGATGTTCAGGTGTATATCAGTATGTAGTGTCTCTACTTTAAAGAGTCCTCTCCTGCTGATGTTCAGGTGTATATCAGTATGTAGTGTCTCTACTTTAAAGAGTCCTCTCCTGCTGATGTTCAGGTGTATATCAGTATGTAGTGTCTCTACTTTAAAGAGTCCTCTCCTGCTGATGTTCTGGTGTATCATGAATACTGATTCTTAAATCATGAGCTGCAGCCCTGCTCTGTTCAGATCTGATTTAGCTCTGTTTGATAGGAAGCAGTTGCACAAATGAACAGACACGTATGAGAGGCCGTCTAGCTCACAACTCATACTTGGTCTTACAAACAATATCAGAATCTCACACATACACCATTAAACTCTTTTATACATATAGCTAAACACTTTTACACACACAATCATACTGTCTTTCACACACTTTTGTCTGGGCCATAAATCAAACGTACTTACATACCAAACTGTACTTTCTTAGAAACACTATTATTCCCACTTACAGACAACATCATACTAGAATATAATACTCTAGTAGTGTATGCAAGATAGAACACTTTGTGTGTGAGAAAGAATGATAGTGTTTGTGAGAGAGGAATTGTAGTATGCATGAGGGTATAGTAGTGTGTGTGGGAGAGAATGATAGTGTATGTGAGAGAGGAATTGTAGTATGTATGAGGGTATAGTAGTGTGTGTGAGAGAGAATGATAGTGTATGTGAGAGAGGAATTGTAGTATGTATGAGGGTATAGTAATGTGTGTGAGAGAGAATGATAGTGTATGTGAGAGAGGAATTGTAGTATGTATGAGGGTATAGTAGTGTGTGTGAGAGAGAATGATTGTAAGGAATGCGTGGAAAGGGTAGGACCCAAATGCAGACTACAAAATAAAGTAACAAGGTCTAGAAACAAGAACGAGCTTTATTCCAAAAGCTGACGACTGACATGGAGGAAGACAGGAAAAACCAACAATGAACCGACAAGGCACACAGGGGAAGACAAGACTAAATACAGAGAGGGGTAATCACAAGACGAGACACAGCTGGGGTAAGGGAGGCAGAAACACAAGGGCAACAGGTGAACACAATCAAACAATCAGACACACCAGGGAAACTAAGACAGGAAGGCAAACACAGGAAGAAGGAACAGAGAAGACACAAGGAGGAAACCAGAGACAGAAAAAGACAAGACAAAACACAACACAGACAGATCGTGACATAACCCCCCCCTCAAGGGACGGATCCCAGACGTCCCAAAAAACATAGTCCAACATTTCCAAAAGGGTGGGTGGAGGGGGTCCGGAGGACGGGCCCGAAAGGGGGCCCGAAAGGGGTCCCGGGCGGACGGCCCAGGGGCCAGGCAGAGTCCAAAAAAGGGCGAAGGCCACAGCGGGCGAACTCAGCAGGGACCCGGGCATGAGAGCGAAGGCAGTGGCTGGAAGAGTCAGGAGGCCGGGCTCGAGGGCGAAGACCACGGCTGGGGAACTCAAGGGGCCGGGCTCGAGGGCGAAGGCAGCGGCTGGAAGAGTCAGGGGGCCGGGCTCGAGGGCGAAGACCGCGGCTGGGGAACTCAGGAGGCCGGGCAGGAAGGCGCCGACGGGACAGCTCCGGAGGCCGGGCAGGAAGGCGCTGACGGGACAGCTCCGGAGGACGGGCAGGACCCAGTATCGGCCGGACAGGAACCGGAGCCGACGGGACAGGCGTAGACGGGGTCCTGAACATGACATGGGCTGGTGTCAATGGGACCCCGGATGGAGCAAGGGCTGGTGTCGACTGGACCCCCAACGGAACAGGACACAGAGTTGGCAGGACCCCCGGTGGAACAGGTGTCGGCGGGACCTCCAACAGGACAGGACACAGAGTAGGCAGGACCCCCGGCAGGACAGGTGTCGGCGGGACCCCCAACAGAACAGAACATGGAGCTGGCAGGACCCCCGGCGGGACAGGTGTCGGCGGGACCCCCAACAGGACAGGATATGGTGTTGGCAGGAAACCCGGCGGAGCAGTAGTCGGCGGGACCCCCAACGGGACAGGACATGGGGTTGGAAGGACCCACAGCGGAACAGGTGTCGGCAGGACCCCCAACGACACTGGACGTGGAGTTGGCAGGACCCTCAGCGGAACCCCCAACGGCACAGGACATAGGGTTGGCAAGACCCCCGGCAGAAGAGTAGTCGGCGGGACCTCCAACAGCACAGGACATAGGGTTGGCAGGACCCCCGGCAGAAGAGTAGTCGGCGGGACCCCCAACGGGACAGGACATGGAGTTGGCAAGACCCCCGGCAGGAGAGTAGTCGGCGGGACCTCCAACAGCACAGGACATAGGGTTGGCAGGACCCCTGGCAGAAGAGTAGTCGGCGGGACCTCCAACGGCACAGGACATAGGGTTGGCAGGACCCCCGGCAGAAGAGTAGTCGGCGGGACCCCCAATGGGACAGGACATGGAGTTGGCAAGACCCCCGGCAGGAGAGTAGTCGGCGGGACCTCCAACGGCACAGGACATAGGGTTGGCAGGACCCCCGGCAGAAGAGTAGTCGGCGGGACCTCCAACGGGACAGGACATAGGGTAGGCGTCGGCCGTAGAGCCAACAGGAGACGAGCCAAGGACTGCTGGCTTTCAACTAAGGCTCGCATCATCTGCTCATGTTGGCCCAGAAGATTTCCCTGATGAGAAATGGCGTGCTGGACCGGAACAGAGGCCGGAACCATGGCTGCTGGGGCCAGAACTGGGGCTGGAACCATGGCTGTATGGGCCGGTTCTGGAGCCGGAACCATGGCTGTGTGGGCCGGTTCTGGAGCCGGAACCATGGCTGCTGGGGCCAGAACTGGGGCTGGAACCATGGCTGCTGGGGCTGGAACCATGGCTGCTGGGGCCACGGCTTGAATCCTGGCCTTGCGTCTCCTAGAGACCCTTTGGAGGCTCCGTGGACCTCCTAAGGCAAGGCGGGATCCCGAGAAGGGGTTTGAGGCTTGAAGCTGGCACTCAGGGCTGCTAGTAAAAACTCTGAGAAATTCAGGCAAAGAGCTCCACAGCCATGGCACATTATCCACCTCCATTTGTGCTCTTTTCAGGACAGCCTCTTTCTCCCTGCTAGTCGAGGTTCCACTCCACACAGTATAAAGACATCGAAGGGAGTAATCCTGAGAAAGCAATTCAGCATCAAAATCAAAAACATAATCCGCTGAGTCCATAATTGGTCGGTTCATTCTGTAAGGAATGCGTGGAAAGGGTAGGACCCAAATGCAGACTACAAAATAAAGTAACAAGGTCTAGAAACAAGAACGAGCTTTATTCCAAAAGCTGACGACTGACATGGAGGAAGACAGGAAAAACCAACAATGAACCGACAAGGCACACAGGGGAAGACAAGACTAAATACAGAGAGGGGTAATCACAAGACGAGACACAGCTGGGGTAAGGGAGGCAGAAACACAAGGGCAACAGGTGAACACAATCAAACAATCAGACACACCAGGGAAACTAAGACAGGAAGGCAAACACAGGAAGAAGGAACAGAGAAGACACGAGGAGGAAACCAGAGACAGAAAAAGACAAGACAAAACACAACACAGACAGATCGTGACAATGATAGTGTATGTGAGAGAGGAATTGTAGTATGTATGAGGGTATAGTAGTGTGTGTGTGAGAGAGAATGATAGTGTATGTGAAAGACAATGCTTGTGTTTTTGAGAGCTTATGACAGTTTACATGTGAGAGGACATTGTACTGGTTGTGAGAGTATACTTTAAAAGGAAGTCAGGTTGATCCAACAGGAAGCCAGTGTAAATATTCATTCTTTGACTGGTTTCCAGCCTTGAAAACAAAGCCTGAAGCTGCTCAGAGCACTGCTAGCTAAATTCGAGCTGCAATAAGAACATTTGTTAACACTTTATATTAAGGTACACAAATTCACCATCAACTAGTTGTTAATTAACATGCTTATTAGCAGTATATTGGCTCTTTATTAGTCATTATAAA